GTTCGGCTTGCGAATTTCGATACACAGGTTTTCAAGCTCGTCAACATTGAGATCAGTCCGCACGGAGAAATTTATTGTTGATTTAATATAAAAGCATATACCTCCGCCACCATCGCTAAGCCTATCTCTTCGAATTAATTCGTAGCCACAGATATAAAAATCAGCGTTATTATTAGACGCTCCTAGTTTAGTTTCCTGAATAGCAAGAACATCTAGGCACTTATCGGCAAGCAAAATTCTAATTTCATCAATATGCGTGGAGAGTTTGTTAACATTTAGTGAAGCTAACTTAAATCCTCGTTTTGAAGGAATGTGATTGTTAATAATGGATCTCTGCTGATCCAAAGTTGATTGAGTCGATATGCAATTATTGTAGCTATTGATATGAGATTCATAACAATCAAGACGAAAGTTAAGCTTTACGTTAAATGGTAAACCATGGGACTAACTATTATTCTTTTGGCTCGTAAAAAGTCATAAAATAAAACAAGTATGAGGTATACCACATGTAACTTATTTTACAGTTCATGTAAACAGGCTTCATGTTAGTGACGGCCTTTCCTTTTAAAATTGTTCAGAAAACCTTCAGGATTTAAGTTAATTTGTATCCAGCGGTGGTAATATTTATGGGAAAAGAACCCAAAACAGCCATATTAACGAGCAATCACCAAGAAACTTGCCTGACATAACGTCGAACCAAGACTGAAATGGTTGGTGCTCATCAATTGAAAGTCATGATATAGTCTGCGCCACCGCTGGGTGCTTAGACAAAGGATATCGGCAATGTATACATGTTGAAATTGGTAGGTATGGCCTAAAACGATATTATTAATCGAAGTTGGCACATCTGAATACTTTCTTTCCTTAGCCTGCAGACGTGCAGGACTTGGCAGAGATTGTCAAAAAAGATTATTGACTGTACTTGGCACATCACAATACTTCCTTATCCGTATCCTGGAATCATGTTTAAATTGAAAGGCATGGTCAAAAACTATTATTAACCGTACTTGGTATATCTCAATACATTCTTATCGCTAGCCTGCAGACATGTTTGAATTGAAAGAAATTGTCATTAATGGCACTTGGCAGTGATGTCAATACTTTCTTATCCTTAGCCTTCAGAAATGCTGGAAGAGGTAGATATGGGCAGGAACGATTATCGTACTTAGCGCATCTCTATTGTTTCTTATCTATAGTCTGCAGACAGGTTGGAACTGGTAAATGTGGTCAGGAACGATTATTCATCGTACTTGGCATATCTTAATACTTTCTTATCTATAGCTTCTCAAAGGTTGAAATTGGAAGGTATGGTCAGGAACGATTATTAATCTTTCTTGAGGCATCTTAATAATTTAATCGTACTCGGCACATCCGCTCTATTCTTTCTTATCTATAGCCTGCGGACAGGTTAAATTTTCACGAAATGCTATCCAAGAAAACACACCTCTAGCTTGAAGCTGAAGAGGATCGAAATACACACTCCGTAATTGGTTACGCTCAGAAGCCAATAGGAAAACAAGAATTTTGATCCGCCACGTGGGTATTTATGTTCAAGTTCAAAGCTCAATAGACAGAACGGCTGTACCGTTCTCGCCACGACAAAGTACAAATAAAGCTGCTCTTGCAAAAGCAACTAAGCACAAAGCCAACCCGGCAACTGATGAGGTTCGTGTGGAGAACCGAAACCATGGTCTTGCCTGATCACAAACTGTGGCAATAACAAAACAGTTTAAAGACTGTTAAGCTTATTCAAAGCTATTACCAAGGGAGGAACTACGCGCTCCAGTCAAAAGACTCACACTATCTTAAGAAAAACACTAAGCTGGGGTTTACTGAGTCACAATTCAATTCTCCATAGTAACTTTATGTAGCTTCAGTTTACGCTGCAGTTCACTCTTATAATTTTGGATCTGTAAGTCACTATCCGTGATAATTTAACATTCTGCAAAGAAAGCTGACGAGCTGGGCCCAGCGTGATACAGCATTGCAGAAAAACATTACACTCACAGACTAAAGAAAATCGCTTAGTTATTCAGATCCAGAAGGCACTTGGGAGAAAATTGGAACCCTTATTCAGCCGTAATAAAAAAGCTTTACGCTTCAAAAGAGGTCAAAGAAAATGCGCTTGCATCAGAGGGCAAATCCTGCCGACCAGAACTGACAATAACTACAGTCGATCGATATGTATGTCATGACCTCTCAGTGTGAAACATGCGGCTAAAATCACATTTGCTCAGTATAAATGCAGAACCTTCCAGAGCATAATCTACCCAGCAGATAAAAACAACTTTATTGGAATAAGCAGCATTTTGGCATGAGGTTAAAGTCGTGAAGGCCTACCACCCTCTTTTATTGCCTCGATTAATTCTGATCACATTTACCAGTTTTATAACCTGTCTGCAGGCTATTGATAAGAAAGTATAGAGATGTGCCACTGAGCACGATTAATAATCGTCCCTGACCACATTTACCAATTTCAACCTGTCTGGAAAGTATAGATAAGAAAGACGTGCCAAGTACGATTAATAATCGTTTTTGAAGGATTCTTTCCTCCGTGTAGACTGTATTTCTTTCACACACAAATTAATTTAAGTTGTCATTCATATGGCTATTTTTTCTGAACGAGTTATTGCTGAAGGGGTTTTTTTTAAAAAATTACACCATAAATAGCTTCATGCATATGACGTAGTACTGATGAAGAGGTTTAATTTGGATACCGTATTTATTCGATTAACCGCCCTGGGCGCTTATTAAATTTTTGGACCTTGAGAGTGGGCGCTTATTAAATTTTCACCATTTTCAGCAAGTGAAGTATGTTTATTTTGCAACAAAATAATAAATGCTACTAACAAAACGCGAAGAAGTAACAAAGCAAGGTTTCTGTAAAATACTCTGAAGAAAACTCCGTCCTCAAGGAAGTCTCTTATTGGAACTTATTCACTTAATTGGGTGGGGTGGGGGTGAGTGCTTATTTGAGTTAGATTGGGGTGAGGAGGGGGTGGGCGCTTATTCGAGGCTGGGCGCTTATTATCTTTTTCTGCCTTTAGGATGGACGCTTATTCGAGGTGGGCGCTAATTCGAGGTTGGGCGCTTATTCGAATAAATACGGTAGTCACAGAAGTAGGTTTTCGTCAAAAGATTCCAAATTTAAAGGGACACGGTCAGCTGATGCACATGCGCATTAGATACTATTTCTTAGCTGATTTGCATGTCACAAGATACGCGCGTGAAACAGAAAGCCAGAAGCGTATCCGGAATGCTCAAAACAAACCTTGAAGAGTTGAACTAGTTACAAGTCCAAATCGTGATTATAGACCCTAAGCCACATCAGGGAACACATTTTTTATATACCATTGAGAATTCACCGACAGATTTGTCCAGGTGTAGCCAAACATCGACGAATACTTCTGAATTCGATCATCTGTAGAGATGAGAAATGACACGGAGTTGGCATGAATCATTGTTGAAGGTTCAAAGTCGAGAAAGCTTGATTTTCCAAAGATATGTAACCTTTTCCATCGATTTTCCAAATACATATAACTTGCTCGCCAATGTTATTGATTCATTTGTTTTGTTATTTTGGTAAACGAAAGCGATTTCTTCCGCCCGGTGCTTACACATTTCTCACCTCTTCTGTTCTATTTCCTTTGGATGCTCTTTTTAACCAAATATGATAAAATAATGTTATAGGATGAGTTAAAGTTTGCTCAAAAACGGGTTTTCTGTAAAAGATCGAGGACCGAATAAAACACTAGGCAAGATTGAAGCGGATTTCTAGATGTAGCCGACGCGTTCATTTGATTTCGGGTTGAGGTAAACTCTTTTCAAATTGACCAAAGTAGTGTCCAGCTCAGCACGGTCCCATAGCTGAAAGCATTTGGTGTTGTTGTATCACATGTGAACGTACTACTAGAAAGGTTCGATTTTGATAGTCACATCATCTAATTTTGTCTAGAGGCCAATAGTTAGAGCTACATGCGAAATAGCTAGTTTCATGTGAACACTCTACTGAAGAGGTTTTAATTTAAATGGTCAAACTATTGGATTTCATCGACGGACTAGTCACTGAAGTAAGATTTCGAACCAAATCAGTAAAACATAAACAAATACAACAACAACAACACCAAAAGCTTTATTTGCATGACCATAAAGGAATTACAGTATTGCAAAAGCTATTAGTCTAAATTTAAGTACTAATTCAACTAATTAGTACGTGCAAAACATTACAAAACGTTACAGTTCTCATTCATTCATTCATTGATATTAATTTGGTTCTTAATTCACAGCATTGCGAGATAAATGAAACTAATTGACAGTTAATTAAATAATCAGAAGAATTCATAAGAAGAGATATTAAAGTATCGTGTGAAAGTGATTTGAGGTCAGGTATTTGAGTTTCTAGTTTGGAGAAAAATATGTTTCTGATCTGAGAATAAGCCTTACAATCTAGTAAGAAATGATTTTCATCTTAAATTTTGTTACTTGTACAAAAGCAAAATATTCCTTTCATTGCGAGGGTTTTTTTTTTCGTATTTATCTGTTTCAATTCTAAGTTCATAACTTCTTATTCTAAATTTAACTAATGCTTTTCTCGAAGGGTTTTTTTTGTTAAAACTAGGTACGGCGAGGGGCTATAGTCGTCTTTGATTGTACAATAAAAACTGCGTTTTCGTGATTGTTGAAGGGTCTGATCCCGGTAAGAGACGTATTTATTTGTCATTATACCGATATACCGATTAACTATTGAGTCACTCAATGAATTACAGGAAAAGTCATAGTTTAGATCGTAGTAGTCAACCATCTTCATGAGAGTAGAGTAAAAGATAGTTTTTTTTTTTTTTTTTTTTTTTAATACAGTCATTTAAACGTGCTACAGATAAGGTTTCATTAGAACAGCCGATCACATCACAGCACTTTACAACAGAGATAAACTAGGGACTATTTCTAAAATGTCTCTAGTATTGAATCTGGAAGTAAAAAGATTAACTTTAGCGCAAGTCTCAGACGACTGTGGTTTTCTTCTTTGAATTTCCGACCTTTTCTGTAGAGTGAGCAATAGGCGTCAGTTCCAAGGCCACAGCCTGCTCATTACCATGGAATTCTTCTAGTTCTATGTCGCCCTCACTCCCGACGAGCCACCGTAAATCTTTTGAATCGAATTGATCATCCACGCCACCTGGTAATGGAGGCAAGGGATTGTTTGCAATGTTTACACTTGATCGCCTATAAGAAAAAAACAACGCTGTCAACCATAGTAGATTCCTATAAATTTGACCATACATTTTAGATCATGCGCACGATTATAAAAGGCAACGTGAATCACACTAGAACATTTTACGACGAGCCGATAATTCTGTGAGACAAGATCGCAATGCTCTATTTTATTATCATTATTTCAAATCTTGATGCCAACCGCAATGGACTCGAAACATGATTTGTACGCAGCGAACGGAGTTAGATTTTCTCACTCTGAGATTTATACGCTATTACGCCTTAAATGTCAAAAATAAAAGGCGTTCACGTTGATTAAGAGTCTTCCCCTAAATATCCGCCTGCCAAACTGAAAAATAAGAGTCTCCTTGAATAACAATCACCTCCAGCACACTGTCTTAAATATATTAAGTAATGGTATATGTATACCTTCTCTCTTCTCTCATTCTCTGAACGATTGTTTACCTTTGATTAAACGCCGGCATTGGCATAAGGGAACAGTTTCTTATTCGCCACTCGTTCAGCTCAATTTTAAATTTACCGTGCAAAGCGAGACCATTATCTGTATCCACGAGTTAAGCAATGTTATTTCTTGCGTAACAATGTAACCGAGTCCCTTTTGTTCTTTGTCATGACCATGCACGTGTCTCATGAACGATATACTGTCTCCTCAGTACTTCTTTGAAGAATCTATTTCTTCCCCGAATAAGCGCTCCCTCAGAGGCCAAGCTAGTATATAAGCAGAACTGGCCTTACCTATCAGTTATTGAATTAACATAACATAACGTATTTATTGTCGAACTAATATTGGGAAGTTCTTTAGCCTGGGACTTGTTGACCCCTTTATAAATACGGAATACCGGGTATGGACAACGCAACTCACTTGTGGTTAAACTTTTCAAGAATAAAAGCCAAATGCTTAATCGAGAGTACTAACCTGTCATAAACATCTGCTCTCGTCACAGGAACGGTGGGGTCTGAATCATGTGGATCAAGGTAGTAATCTTTCCTGCCACGGTTGTTGTCTTCTGTTAAGTGAAGGTACTCGGTCGCGACACTCTGTTGTGAAAAATGAGCCCAATATCGAAGTTTAAAATAAACATACGAGCCAGGAGCCCATAACCCGAAGCGAGCAACTTCCATACTAGGCCTATGTCAAGGCGTTTTTACGGATCAGTTTATTTTTAGACACATTTTAAGGGGCACTTAGCTTCTTCCCGCAAAAAAAAATCTTCACCATATCTATGAGCGCATTCGAAGTATAATATTTCAAAACGGAAACCTAAACTTTATTAAAAGGCAGAAAATACCATTTTTAGGTCTGTAGGTTTTGCTGACTAGTTTGTGAAATTTAAAAGATATTCAAAATTCGCGCCAAAATTAGCAGTCGAAATTCTCTGATCTTATAGACTCATAAATTTTTATAATCTGTTATAATAGCTTTAGCATCTGGATTGCGTCAGTCTAAAAAAAAAGCATGCAGATCGTGTCATATCGTTCCATGGCCGATCTAAGGGAGGGGCCAAGGGGCCCCGGGGGCCCGGGGCTCCACCTTCCTTATAGGCCAAACTGCAGTCTACGGGACTAAATGAGCGGGTCCCTCACTTAGTTAGAGATTTTAATCCGCCACTGTCATTGCAAATATGGTAATTTTTTTAAAGAGCACACAGTATAAGTCATCTCTTCATATTCTCCCTGCAAAGCTTAATTCCCGCTCGCTCCATCAGAACAAAGGATATATACACTCAAGAGAGTATCCCCTTTTGATAAACTTCATTTTTTCGTTTGAAGGACCTAGTGTACAATAAGGTCTGACAAAAACAAAAAAACAGTAGAAAAAAGGCCTCACCTGGGAAGCGCGTTGCTCAAGTATTGTACCAATCGACTGGCTGATTTGATCAAATTTAGGTCGCTTGTCGGGTCCTTCCTGCCAGCAATCTTGCATAATTTTGTAGATCTCCAAAGGGCAGTCTCGGGGATTTTCCATACGGTTTCCATCATTGAGAAAGTCTCGGAGCTCTTCTACGGGTATAGTGGGATACGGTGTCCCGCCCAGTGTAAAGATCTCCCACAAGCAAATACCAAACGACCATCTGCATTATTAAATGTCAAGGTTCAAAAACATACACACTCGAAGGGTCATCACAGCCTGGGTCATTCCAAACCAAAAGGGTGTCAATAAAGCTCTGTAAGCTGTTTAAGCTAAACTATGGACTCGAGGAAACAGATGGTAAGCTGCTATTAACTCCACTACAAAGGAATTATCAAATCAAAACTTACATGGCTTGCATATGAAGCGCTACATTCAAGAATCGTTATCAGTAGCATTCTTTTTCTTTCGAGTACTATTTATAAAAAATGGAAAACGTTATCTGCTGTGTTTACATGCCCTGATATAAACACGAGATTCGGGTGTTGGGAGAATTTAAGAGAATTCGTACAAATTACAAACCACAGAAAAACAGTTTTCTGCTAAGGTGCTTTTTTTTAATAGCGACAACTTTCCCAAGAAAAAGTTGGTACCTAGCTCTTTGTTTATGGCGCTGACGAAAAGAGCCGTTCTTACTAGTCGCGAAGTGTTGTATCTACACGAAGTTTTGTACGTGTTATCAGTACGTTTTTTTTTTTTTGCATTTATAATAAAGTTTAGATATAACGTGCACTCTGATTTGTTGCAAAAGCGTGCTTTATGACAGTATGAAACATGCTGACGACACTCTTTTGCAACAAAAAAAATAAGTTTTGAAAATTAAAAAGGAATGTGTGGGGAATTTAACGGATTCTTTATATTCATAAAACAAATAAGGAAGTCTTGACTGAGCTCTATTCTGTTGTACTACTCAAGAAGTAGATAGAAACACTCGACTACATCTCGTGTTCCCCCCTACACTTCTTTCGTGTTCTAGCCGCTGCCAGTCGTGCGTGCTTTACAACGTACAGAACAGAGCACAGTCGAGGCTTCTTTATTTGTTAAAAAAGGTGATATTTTAAAGGACGGATTGTTCTCCCTTGAAATGTCGTCTTGAGCGTAAAAACTTTGATATAGCATATTTTTAAAGTTTTTTCAAGTTCCATGCCTCTAAGTTATGGGTTAATAAAGTAAACTTGTCGAGTTTTTCAAACTGTGGTAGAGTGGTTGCGTTTAACTGTGTTACTCGCATGCAAACATACTTCTCAGCCAATCGGAGAGCGCGTACTAAACTATTTTATGGCAAGTTTACCTTAGTTACGCCTAGTTACGCACTAATTATATAGTTGTAATCCTTGAGTACGATCCTCCCATATTTTCATATTCTCCCTTCATTCATTTTTTTAAAGTGTCATTTGTACTTACACATCACTTTTCTCTGAGTACTCCCTCGAAAACAATGATTCTATCGACATCCACTTCATTGGCAAAACACCACTGTTTGTCTGCACATATAACTCACTCTTGGAAATATCTCGGGCGAGACCAAAGTCAGCGATCTTCATGACGTAGTCTTCTCCAACAAGAACGTTTCTGGCCGCCAAGTCTCGGTGAACACACTATATAAAACAGATATGTTTTGAAAAAAGAAATGCAAAATCAAGAACTCAGAAACAAGAAGGAGATAATAATAATAAAAATAATAACAATAATAATAATAATAATAATAATAACAATAATAATAATAATGATAATAATAATCACAGTAAAAACAGGAAAAACAATTTTTATACCAACAGAGGAAGTGCACAGGCTACAGAAAGTAAAAGAAAATAAAGACTAAACATTGTTAAACAATGTTCTTCACTTACTCTCGAACGCTGAATTGTCAGTGAGAAACCAACGCTACAGACACTTACCTCTTCGCTTCTTTCGCTCCCGGTTCATGGCTGATTTAATGTCACAGCTGTTGCGCACGCTTCTGAGTTCCCGTAACCTTATCCTCCTACATGTTGCTTTTTCTAATCCTTTGCGCGAGCTTTTGGCTACTTAGGTCTCCTCTCTCTGAGTTACTTTACTTTTTACCACTTATTACTCATAATAAACTCTTACAATGCGAATACTCAAAGCTGGGCTTTTGGAAATAGATTATCCAAACACAAGTCATACTAATCATGGCGGTTTTTGAAAACAAAAGATTCTCATTAAATTTAAGCGCTAATTCCTGAAAGGTCAGGTAAGTTCAAACGGTTTTTAAGTTATCAACGGTTTCATAGTTGCACATTGAATTTTTTTGGTCCGTTTACATTAACAGAGAATCTCTTGTTTTCAAAAAAAAAAAGACGGTAAGTTCAAACGATTTGATTGGATAATAATCTTTCAAGCGCCCCGGTTCAACTAGTCATACTCTGTTAAACCCGAAAAACAAACAAATAGGCGCAGATTTAGAGTCGAATGATCGATTTAAATCAGGACAAAACTCCTTGAAGGCAAACGGAGAAAATAAGCAAGTGCTGGAGAATAGGTATGGTACCCCAGAGAACCGTTCCTTTCAAAAGTTGTCCTTTGCTCGTGCATCCACGAGCATATGTATGTATATTTTATGAAAAGACAAAACGCAAATCGCCTTGAGAACGTCACGTGATGTGAAATGAGAAAATAAAACATAGGCCGAAAAGGTCTATTACAACCAAGAGCCACTACAGCTCTTGTTAGAACTGAATTTTCTTCCGAAATGTGGGAATCCTTAAACGGGACAACATTACTACATTACCTTTTTAGACGCCAGGTGTTCCATTCCACGGGATATTTGGTAAGAGAAGCTTACAAGATTTGATATATTCAATCCTATCTCTGGGTCACTCGCAGTCGTAGTCCAGGTTGCTTCATAAACATCTCGCTTGCCTCGTAAGAACTTTTGTAAACTCCCATGTGGTGCATATTCCAGAATGATAAGGATACGATCTCGCTTGATACAAGCACCAAGGAGGTTTACAATGTTTTTGTGTTCTCCAACGTAAATTAGAATTTTCAGCTCTGATGCTAGGTCTCTTTCTTCCTCTTTAGTAGCTTCCCCTGAAGTCCCAAAATATCGTACTCGGTCAGTTAAAAAAAAAGTGCAGTTTCCACCGGGTCTGGTGGAGTCCATGTGACCATGTTACAAGCAACGTTCAGTTTAACTAGGCACAAACCTCAGCAATAGGAATGACCACGAACGGTACTCATGCATGAGATAGGCCATACGCGAATTGCCCACCTCACCCATGCTGAATCCAGGGGCATATATGGCTGGAGTTTTTTCCACTGGTAGGCACAGATTCCCAAATCAACCCTACCCCGTCCCCAAATTATTACCGCGCAGGTAACCTGGTAACTCGTCCCCTCCCCTGTATATTATCAGTTGCTACAGTAACTATAAACCAAATTCCTTTTTGTTCCCCTCCACCAACCCCCGACAAGTACCATCCATCCTTGCTCCATGGTGAATGTTACACAAGTTGAAATAGAGATCTCTTGACTTGAAACATTACCTTTAACAGTCTTTACAGCTACGGTGGTCTTCGTGAACGCACTGCCTCTGGGGTCGTGGTACGCATGGCCGGCCCTGTGTTGACGAAACATTTTAGGTCGCCGCTGACTTTTCTTTTGACTTTTGTCTCTGGGACTAAAGTTGTTTATTCCTATAGCCTCTGCTTTAATGACTTTTCCGAAGGCCCCTGATCCTAACAACTCCCCAAGAATGAGCTTGTCCTCAGGAAACTCGAAATCAGGGTCATAAGGCAGATCATTACATTGTTCAAGCAGTGTACGATTAGGGTCAAGCTAAAACAATCAGGAAATATTTTATTACTTAACGTATACAATACTACGGGGACCTATTTAGTCTAAGCAATGGTAAGTTCATTCCCTCCAACTGGAAACTGTTTGGTTCATGAGTATTACCTGAATTTAGAAGGCTATTTCAGGGCAATGGATCACTTTTTGAATCGGGTCACAGAATAAACAAAAGCCAGTTTAGGTTTGAAAAGTAGACTTAAATTTATGGCCACTCCGCAAACAAACTCGGCACCTCGTTCACGGTAGGTCGACAAAAAACGTCGTGACTATTTTTGCGGAACAGACTGGTTCGTAGCCTGGTTTCATAGTTTATAGGGTTTTTACTTTTCTCTTTTTTCTCTTTTAACCTAAATAAAACTGCAATTTAATCAAAGGGGAAGTAATTAGTTTAACTATATCCTGCCCTCTCCATTTATTCTTGTAACCTGATATTTATTCCACAAATAGCATCTTCATCTTCCAATCTTGTAATACAATATAAATGGCTTGTACAATAAATTAATGGAGGAAAAAATAAACAAATAAACAAATGAAATGAGCAAAATGTCAGCTATCTTTACTATCCGTGAGTATACATCTATTTTAAAACGAGGAGCAATCTGTGGTTGCAATTTTGCAAATTCTGTCTGTCGACTGGCCTCGAACAAGCAACTCAGATGCTGATAAATGTATAATCATTCTCAAAAGTGTCCAACACCATGAGAGTTTACACGAATGTAAAGTAGCCATAAGTAAAGCAACCCTGCCTTTCGAAAGGTTACTAAAGATTTTAAGCAAAAGAGAGTCGACGACGGTAACGAGAATGTAAAACAGTAGCGGGTCGGATTAACAACCAAAAACGACAACTTTGCTCGGGCCACCAAACTTAATTTCATGACTACTACGTGAAAAATTAGTGCCAATGGGCGTTTTGCGACGGACGTTAACCGGCACTGACGATAAATTTTTTATTCCCTTTTTTAACTTGGCTGTCCATAGAAATTCAACTACTCCACGTAAAGTCACCTACGTTTCACATATCAAAGGAGATGACGTTAATCAAGATGAAGTTTGAAAGATCGCAATTCATTTCATTTTCGTCGTCATGTTTGAACAAAGGTTGAGAGACGTTTGGTTATAAAACCCCTTTTCTAATTTCATTGCTCCTCTGAGACAAAATTTTCACAAGTAAAAGAAATCCCCCTCCTCCGTTTTTCCGCGTTTAAAGTTGTCATTGTAGGTGTTAGGTATGACCTGGGAATGGGAGGGGTGTGAAATTTACGTAGTCCAACAAACATCATTTTCAGCCAAAATAAGTTGCAGAATCCAAGCAGGCACTGGCTGTTGTGTAGTGGTTTCATTTTAAGCTCGTTTTACACGGTATTTTACCTGGTGTTTTCCAGTGTATATTGGAAAAAACTGATTACGATCCTCTACAATCTTCCTCCGCTGATGGCGTCTAAAGCAAAAGAAGGCGAACCCAAGGACGATACAGAGGAACAGGATTGCTCCAACAACAGAAAGGGCAACAGTGGCTTCCTTACTAAGAACTTCTATTGAAGATAGATTTGGGTTAGAGCTGGTTGACACTAGAAAATATTCAATATTGCTTATTGCTTCAGTTAAATTACATTATTGTTCATTCAAAATATTTCCCCAATTCTGACTGGCTAAAAGCACACGCATAAATCACCATAACTAGTTACTGATGACCAAATTCAGAAGAATTTTATGTTTAACGAGGAAACGACGTCAACCTGGAGACGAGGTTGAGTTGTTTTTGGCTGTAAAAAAAATAATGGCGAACATTTCACTCGTTTCAAGAGCAAAAACTGCAGCTGGAACTAGGCGAAATGATAGCAAAAAACACGGCAAAAACAGCAAAAAGACAACTCGGAAGGCGACAGCTGCTATTTGGAAAATATTTGCGGGGCTGGACAAACCTAAACGTACACTATCGAAAATGAACTTAACATCGATGCAGGTAAGCATGTTTTAGCTATGTTTTTAGATTAGGAATAATTTTGAATGAATAATAAAGCAATTAATGAATTCGGCTTTCCAAGGATATGAAGAATTAAGCAGATCGAGGAGGGTGTTATCCACCGAGGCCGAAGGCCGGAGACCATTATCACCGTTACGCTTGCCTGCGTATTCTGATCTTGATCTTAGCAGTGTCTGGTTTCGATGTAAGACTTATGAATGTTTAGTTTCTTTTAAGTTCCTTAGTATGTCTTGCATGAGTAGTTTTCAGTGACCATTTCATTACAAAAAGCTGTTATTATCAAACAAAAATATTTGCTGGGCTCACCTCTGGCTTATTTGTGTTCTTGCAACCTCTTCTTAGTTTTTCAAGGGCAGTGAATTATATTTTTTTCACACACTTATTCTTCATTGCAAAGTAGTATTAGTGTACAAGATAAAAAAACAATGATGATTTTATTATGTTTTAAATTTACCCGGACTTAAGTTTCACAATCTGTCCAACTGTAATGCTCAATATTGGAGAGAGCGCAATTAGGTGTTTAGAGAAGAATACTGATGTACACTAATAAATCCAAACTTTAATAGTGAAAACAGATCATCTGGCCTTGAAACCGGGCAGCCCAAAAAAAAAAAAAAAAAAACAAAAAATCCAAACTTTAATAGTGAAAACAGATCATCTGGCCTTGAAACCGGGCAGCCCAAAAAAAAAAAAAAAAATGCCACAGCAGATGATGAATTACACAACTTGATATTAAACTGAAGTAGAGAACCGATAATATTAGTCTAAAAATGATGTCAGTGCTATCATCTAACAGGTCACGGAGGTGGAACTATATTCAATACAGATATTTGTTCGCGGGGGAAAAATTGAACAAAACAGAAACAAGCGTAAGAAAAAAATAATTTGCTCCTTCGCTATTGCTCGCAGTAAATGAATACCATGGGATAATGGCTAACGTTCGCTAGACAATCTCTCTGATAATGGTCGCCATCTTGTTTTGTCTCTTTGGTAGTACCCAGACCCTTGCATCACAGCTAGATCGCTTGACCCCGCTCGTTTCAACGCCCTAGCTTCTTACGCCCTGATTCAGCACGTATATCAACATGTGTTTATCACATCATTGAAAGCAAGTAAGTGTTTTAATGAAAGAAACTGACCGAATTACACCGGAAGGCCACTGAATAGGAATATTTAACTTCCTGCTTAAATCGAAGCGAAGCACACTCTTCGTATTTTGACAGATCTTCAAAGGCATAGCAACCATTTTTAAACTACACTTTTAAAAAACACAAGGCGATTCACGATACCTTCGTCCAAGTCAACAACCAGGGCCACTTTGCGCATGACCGATTCCCAGTACAGAACCGAAATGAACAGAACCCAAGTGCATCCATAACCCCATGGTTGCACAGCTGCAACGTTTACCATTTCTTTTATAACATAATCAAAAGAGAACAAAATTATTTTCCATTTGCCTTCGGTTGTGTCATCGGTCCGAGTTGTATGCTGCCATCTGTCTGCCGCTTTGAGTCTTCTTCCGCTAAATCAACCGTTCTCCGTCTTCAGGTAAATTGCAAAACGTTTTTCGTTGTTATTCTGAATGGCCTCTGTCTAATTGCTCTTAATATTAGGGTAAAAACTTTAAGGGAAAACTATAGCTGCAACTGTAAACACCAACTAAAAAGACTCTAAAAATAAGCTAAAACTAAAGTAAATGAAATAATTGTCAAGCTTATTTATGTCACAATTTTTGAAATAAACGTAAAGTAGAAATGAGAAAATTTGACTGTAATTCCTTTAGAATAACAGGTAACACTAATTTTAAGAAGAAATTAACTAGTTTTGTATCGAAATCTGTCTGGGGAAATCCAGCTATGAAAGTCAAAGTTGCAACTGAAATTCGCCGACACACAGCCGGCGCTGAAGCTGTTGCTTTTCGACCGTTCTCTAAACGACTGTTATGAATGAACACTGAGGCACAAAATAATACACACAGAAGTTATTTTCGAAAAAATTTTTTGAAAACCCAAATGTTTCTGTAATCAAATGAAATGTGCCCGTTTAAGCTCAATTAACATTTTTAATCGATGCGAACGTGTTTCCTAAAATATTTGCTTGAATTTAGCATCAGCTTGACCAAAAAGTCAATAACACAATGCTAATTGATAAATTTACATTTCAAACAGAATTTCTCTTCTATAAAAAACACACAAAATGTACCTTAAATCTTCTCTCGCTCGACTTTCCTTCAGCCGATTCTAGCCGCGAGGAAAACAGTGATTAATTCATCCAGGGCAAATTTGTCGCTTGATCTTTTGTCTTTTTTCCTTCAAAACGACAGCTTAGTATTTTCTTCAACTTCCACTTTTCATCTGTGCATTTCATCGGTGTATTTTACCGTCCGGAGAGGAGATTTGTTGAATTGGCCTAAATTTTACCGCGCTAGCTCAGTTTCTTGGCGTGCACCCACGGGCAAATGGTAGTGGCTAACTGACCAATCAGAGCGCGCGATTTACTTTTTTTGTGTTATAAACATTGTTGGTACACAAGTGTTTCACTGCCGATTTCATGACCTTTTTAAGAGATCTTATAAAACCCCAATGTCTTATGCAAGATTAAAGATTGAAGAATTTTCAGTGAAGTCTGTAATGTGCAGTTTCAAAAAAATATTTATACCCACCCCCCTCCCACACGCGGAAGGCACTTTTGTTTTAGACCCATCCTCTGGCATTTCGGTAATTTTCCAACTTATCTGGGTACCCCCTGCATGGAAAGAACATTTCCGTAAAAAATAACGTTACACTATACTTTTGTGCGAAAGATAATTTTTTTCTAAGATAAAGAGAGGTAAATTCTCTGACAATACCATCCTGTCTTACAAGATTAATAATCGTCACAATACTTGGCATATCTAAATACTTTCTTATTCCTAACCTGTAAACATGTTGGTATTGATATAAATAGAGACTGGCGAGAACGGTTATTAAACGCACTTGGCAATTCTCAATACTTTCTTTTCCCTAGCATGCATGACGTGTTGGAACATGTAGAAATGGGCAGGAAAGATTATTAATCGTAATTTGCACATACTCTATTTCCTTAGCCTGCAGACACGTAGAAATGGTAGAGATTGTTAAAAACGATTATTAATCGTACTTGGCACATCTCAAGACGGCCTCAGTATCCGTATCCTGGAATCATGTTTAAATTGAAAGGCATGGTCGAAAACTATTATTAACCGTATTCGGCACCTCTCAATACTTTCTTATCCCTAGCCTGCAAACATATTTGATTTTGGAGAAATTGTCGGGAGCTATTGTTAATCGCATAAGACACATCTCAATACTCTCTTATCCTTAGCCTGCAGACATGTTGGAATAGGTGGATATGGACAGAGACGATTATTAATCGTACTTGGCACATCTAAATACTTTTTTTCCTTAGCCTACAGACATGTAGGACCTAGCAGAGTTTGCCAAAAACGATTATTAATCGTACTTGCCACATCTTTCTTATCTATAGCCCGCAAAAAGGTTGAAACAAGTAAATGTGGTCAGGAACGCCTATTAATCGTACCTGGCAAATCTCAATACTTTCATATACTTAGCCTGTAGACATGTTGAAATTGGTAGGAATGGCCAGGAACGCTTATAATTGGTACTTCGCACATCTCAATGTACTTTCTAGACGGCGTTCCTTCTCGATTAGCTTAATTTTTATTAGACTATTCTGGAATATGTTCGACATAAAGAAATTTAATAGTATTAATCGATGCGCGAACATTTATTCCCGGAGAACCGTACACAGGATGACCCAGGCGGTTGAGAATTACGATCGATTTGCCCGAATTCCGTCGAATTCCCAAAGTAGGTCACATTACTGATTACAGCAAAGCAGAAAGTACAGGTGTACGGTACGAAGTGCAACGTTGCGTTACTCCACAACTCAATTTGTTATTGTTTCGCTTTGTTGCATTTCATCACGACATGAAATTCATTTATTGCGGCGTTCTTTTTCGTAGAAGGTTTTACTGCAAAGCAGCGAAAAACGGCAAAGAAAAATAAATCATTACAGCGTTATAGAGCATTAAGCGACAACTATATGGAAAATAAAATGTTCGTATCCAAAAATGACCGATCAAAATGGCCGGCAAGATGAGAGTTTGACTGGTCAAGTCCGCGATCAGGCCGAATATTGTCTGTTGACCGGCCGTTATTTTCAGCCCTGTCATAGTCGATTGGTTGTTCATCGCCGTGATTGAGAACCAAACAAATAGTACGTCACACATGGCTTGCTTCTTATTTGAAAGTTCTCAATGGGTGGTTGAAAGACAGGCAACACAAAATGGCACATGAACTGCAATTGCCTTTGCTCATTCAAAAATGCACATTTTAAGGAGTTCTGGATTCTGATTTCACAATATAATAACGTACCCAGTGCACCATGGAAAAGGTTACATGTATGCAACCCTCTAAGTTAAAGCTTTTGCTTTTTCACCATTTGGCAACCAACTCTTTTGGTTTAGGGAGACTTTTTTACAAATCAAGTCCCCCAGCTGCAAAATTTTAGGCGCCATGGCGTCCAAAATGGTCCCAACTTGGAGGGTTGGTGTGCAAAAATCGAACCAAAATCGAAACGAAAAGCA